ATGGCAGTAGTGCCGCACAAAGGCCAACTCTACAGCCACAGCCCACTGGCAGCTGGCCCAGAGTGGCAGATGCCTCATCCGGGTCTGGCAGGTGCACAGCAGGTCACAGCCAGGCAGCAGCCCCCACTGCCAGACTACTGAAGTGGGAAAAGGCTGCAGGGAACTCTCAGGGCTGCTTCAGCAGTCCAGCTGGCACAAGGGGTAGTGTCCCGAGGTACCAACTGGCCATGCCCCAGAAGCTCCTGAGAGCGAGTAGCCCTGAGCTACTTGCTAAGTACTGATGAGGACAGGACAGGGCAGCTTTTTATACTGCTGGGGACAGCACAGGTGCTGGCCCTGTGCTCTAGCTCCCCCTGGCTGCAGATCCATGAGCAGCCAGGCAGGGTTATTTTATCGCAGGTGGCACAATTTGCTCCACAACAAAGTGCATGTCTGAGCACATGCACTGAGGCAAAAAGCCCCAGCTCAAATGTCCACCGCTTCTATTTGAGTTGCTGCAAGCTCACGTGCTTGCATGTGTGGATGTGCCCAATGACTCCATAAGTTGGATATGGCCTGTAGAGGTGGGGCTTTTCCCTGTGCCACTGCAGGAAGAAGTGCTGGCTGTACAGACTTCTCATGCTACTGAGGGAGAAGTGCCAGGTAAGGATGGCGCACTCTGGTCTGCAATTGGAAAAGTTTTCCTACCGCAGCTGTACAGTGTTTCACATAAAATCTGTTTATTTTCATTCTAATTCTAGTAGTGTATGTTAAGATTATTCTGATGCATGTTAGTGGTATAAAAGCAAATGACTAAAAAGCATAATATTCATAACATAATTCTATTAATGCCTGGATTTCTCTACTAGTACCATCTCCAACTTTTAACACCTTATTTCGGTATGATTTTTATAAACACAATAGTGGTGATTTAATATAAAATAAATATTTTCAATAAAATCAAGTATTATTTCAAGATCCTTACCTACTGTCTAATTCTTCATTTATTTGAATGTCTGAAACAGAAATAGCTTTAATTAATAACAATTTAAACACAGGTGTGTTTAATATGCAACTTCTGTGCAAAGGTTACAAAATAATTTTTTTTTAGATGAAACATAGAAACCCTTCAAACTGAATAAGCTTATATTATATATTTAATATACATTAACATTTATATATGTTTATATTAAAGTGAATAAATAGAATATTGTACAACTAAATATTATTAACTAAATTGTGCCACTGCAAATGTCATCTTGTATCTGTATTAAGACTCAGCAAACAGTTTAAAATATATATGGTCTATAAATTTAGTAACATTTATCCAATTGATTTGGCCTTGCTTGGGCACTTGTGGTTTACCACTGCTTACACAGGGAGCTTACTAGAGGTGCACCAATATATTGATTCATACCATATCAGCACTGATAAAAGGACAATTGACATTATCGGCAATGTGACTGATATTGTTACTGATAAATGCTGCATGCATGCGCACAGCCGCAGCACGAAGGCGGCCAGGAATGCAGTCTGGCAGCTTGGAGATCAGTACCCAGCTGCTAAATAGGTGCAGGGTGGGAAAGGGCATGGGAGGGGCAGATCAAGTCCCCCATGGTGAGAAAGGGAATGGGGCTGGGGCAGGTGCTGCCCAGCCAGGGTGGGGGGCAGAGCCATGGGTGGCTTGTCTGGGGGATGCAGGGGGCAGCTCCCACCACTGCATGCACCCCCTGGAGGAGGCATGGGGGGCATCTGCCCCCTGAATTTGTGTGCAAGGTGAAGGCAGGCTGCCCACTTTGGGCTAGGACCGGGGGCTGCACTGATCTCTTCCTGGCAGGGACTGGGCCAGGGCTGCATCCGGGGCAGACAGGGAGGGCAGTGGCAGTGCTGGGAGAGGCGGCTACAGTGAATTTGGGGCTATAGCCCACCCCATTGCCCGTACCTGCCCTGCTGCCACCTGCCGCAACTGCATCCCTGGCCCAGCCCCCCAGCTAGAGAGAGGCCAGCACATCCCCCAGCCCACAGCCCACCCTCGCCCTGCACACAAATCTGGGGGGCACATGCCCCCCATGCCTGCCCTGGGGGGTGTGCACAGCAGCAGGAGCTGCCCCCCTTCGCCCCCCAGACGAGCTGCCCGCGGCTCCACCCCACACCATACCCTGGCTGGGCAGCGCCTGCCACTGCCCTAACCCCCTTCCCTCCCTCACCATGGGGACCTCTATCTATGCCTGCCTACACCCCTTCCCCCCACCCCAGACTTACTGGCTGGTCACTGCTCTTCAAGCTGCCAGGCGGCATATCGGCAAGCGGATTGGTATCACCAGATATGGCTGGTTAATAATCGGTCATCAGTATTGGCCAACAAAATCTTTATCGGTGCACCCCTAGAGCTTACTAAAGAGACTAGGAGTATATATAAATCTGTTACAGAAACAGAATTTCTAATTCCAGATACTTAAATCAAGCAATGTAAAAAGGCGGTAAACTGACCTTCTACAAACATGTTACTATGATTATATTTCACAATATACTAATGGAAAATATTAATACAAGGCCTGCTTGCCTTTTTTTTTTTTAAAACAAGGATGGGGTGGGGAAAAGAGTAAACTAAAACTGTACCAGAAGATGACTTTGTGCCACTGGGAAAGTTAGCAGCTGAAGTTGCAGTGGAAACTGAGCGAGTTTGTAAGGCAGTATAACCGCATACAGAGTATTCAGGTTTTGAACCCTCATTTTCTTTATCCATAACATCAAAGCTCGTAAGACTTGAACAACATGCTAATGCAACAGAAGGATTAACAGACATGGTAAGGAACACAGAAAGAAACTGACATAAAATACAGTGTAAAAATATCACAATTAGGAATTTGTACTTTGAAAAAATTAGCATAACCTTCTACCCAAAACAAACACTATATTTTAGATTGGGGTGGGCAAAATATGGCCCGTGGGCTGGATCTGGCCCGCCAACAGATTTGATCTGGCCCGTGGGTGGATGGCCGTCAACTCAGTGGATCTGGCTCGTGGGCAGCTGGTGGCTCTGGTTGTCACATGCCGCTGGGTGGGCGGGACTACTTCTGCCCAGCAGCATCAGGCATTAGCTGTGGACCTGGGCGGGGCTTCTGCCACAGCAGGCAGATGGTGGCATCAGATGCGGACACTGTGGGCAGCTTCAGGAGCCCGGATGCAGAACCTGCTGGAGGCATCCATAGCTGAAACGCC